CTCTGCAATATTTGAAGTAAAATGTTTGTAAATTGTATAATTAAATTGTATAAAAGCGAGAGAGACGAGCGAGAATGGAGAGTGGCGAGCGAGATTTTTGGGAGAGAGACGCTGGCAAATTTTAGCTAATGTTTGCTATGGAGCACAATTAAATCAAACCCTAGCTATTCCATTTAATTTAGGTTATTAGTTTGCTATTATATACAATTTTCCCAAAAAAAAATCCCCTATTCAAAAATACTCTTACAAACTGGCGACGACTTTCCTCGAATATTTTTGTATATTTTTTCAAATACAAGGTAACTAAAAGAGATATTTTCTCTCCGCGCCATCTTACGCACACATAAGTTGAAAAAAAATCACTTCCGTTCAGTTTAGAAATTGAGATCGAACAATTTAAATCATTTTAGTGATCACCGGGTTACATTCTTGATGCGATATTAAAGAGATATTACTGAAACAATTTATGAAAAATTGATGTCAATTAAATTATGGCTACCGACTTACGGGGAGATAGAAACCCAAACACAGTCATACCGGTTCAATCGAATCCATTAATTTTTACTCAAACTGTAAAGTTGTGTTAACAAATTCATTTTGTATGTACAAGTATTAACTTCAAAACTCAGTTATTATCACTCAACATCATCGTTCTAAAATTTGGAACCCATAAAAAATTCAATTCCTTCAACTCAACTTTGAAGTTGTGTTAACAAATTCATTTTGTATGTACAAGTATTAACTTCAGAACTCAATTATTATCAGTCATCGTTTTAAAATTTTGAATTCCTTCAACTCAATTGATTTACGCACTCTAATCAAAAATAAAAATTTAAAATATCAAACCATATAAAATTAGTTTAACACGGAAAAATCTACTCCTAATATTTATAAAAACAAAAAGATGCAATTCAAACAACGTGAAGAAGGTGCTTTCACTTTCACTTTACATAACCTCTCTTCTCACCCCACTGCATTTCTCCGGCTTTGCTCCTCTGCGATTTTGTGCTTACAGTAAGTGAAATTTTTTTGCTCCTCTCTCTTCTCAAATTTCTCAATTTTGCTTACATTTCAATCTCAATTTGCTTACATTTCATTCTCAATTTTGCTTGCATTTCAATTTTGCTTTTATTAAGTGCAATTTCTTTTTTACTTCTTCTCTTCTTGTCCCGTTCAATTTCAATTTTGCTTATGATAAGTGCAATTTTTTTTCTCCTGATCTTTTGCACACTGCAGTCAGCAAGTTCAATTCACAGCAAGTTCAATTTCAATTTTCTATTAATTCAATCAATCGATATACATGTGAACTGGGAAATTACTTGAAAATTGGTGTTTAGAGATAATAGATGCAATACCACTTTTTCCTCATCCGAAAAGCAACAAGTGGCCTTATAGTTTGTCTACATTCAAGTATGCTGCATCCACTATAATTCATTTATCAATTCTTGAGTCATATTCTATGTGAATTATCGGGAGACAGTTTGAACTTTATTGTTTAATATAAAATTTATTTAAGTTATCTACAT